TGCAATTTATGGAAGTAAAGCAGAACAAAATCCAGCAAGATCAGTAATATGTCAATTAATTATCTGCCACATTCCCATGTAAATATCTGTCTTTGGAGGATGTGTCATTTTTATTCCAAATACAATTTATAATTTGAATCACAGGCTATTTTTATCTCTATGGTTCAGTATTTTCTCAAGCAGCAACTTTAACTGCTATACTTTCCTGTCTTAAAAGGCAGAACTCTTCTAGTCTAAAAAAACTCATTTGTTGAAATGGGGGGACCTATTGTTGAACCCCTTAGGGGCTTTAAAAAACAAAAATGCCTGTCTCTTTTTGCGCTTTATGAAACAAAGTAGCCTATATTTTGTGGATGTACAGCTACATTTCTCATGTAAGTTTGCGTAGTTTTTACACAAACATTTATTTTTCATATTGCACCAGTACAGTTAATGAGCAACCTGTACTTGTGGGCTTGTTTGTTCTGTCTAAAATGTTTATTTTGGAATAAAGAGGTTAATATAAAAATTTTTTTTTGTCCGATTCATCGATTAATCGAAAAAATAATCGGCCGATTCATCGATTTTTAAAATAATCGTTAGTTGCAGCCCTAGTATTGTTCTGAAAGATCAGGTCATAAGACAGGATGCTCCACTGTGTGAATCACAAGGCAGAGTGAAGCATCTCCTTTCTCAATGTTTCATATGCATACACACATTCATTCTACAATCATCATTGAATAAACCTAACATCCTGCAGCGAGGATGATGCTGAACCAGAATGAAGAATATTCAGATGCAGACTGTGGTAGAAGAGAGGAGGCCAACCTGAATCTGTGGACAGGAGGAAGAACCTCCGTCCGTTCTGTTTATTTTCAGTATCTGTGTCTAGATCCTTCCATCTGGATCAAATTAGGACCTTCAGAAAAATGAGAAACCTTCACGGTTCTTTAGATAAACACTGGTCGGTTACTGCGTCAGTGCTTCTTGGCTCCTGTTAAAGTTTCTTCATAAATTCAAACAAAGTTCATCAACAAATCGGCTCAACCAGAAAACTCAAAGATGGGTTATGATGGTTGGGGAACGCTGAGCCCAGAGATCTGCAGCCTGCGGCTCCAGAGACTATAGGCTCTCTGGATCTTCTCCTAATCTTGTGCCATAAAGCACCATAATCATTTTAGATGAATTGAGCTCGAGTCACATTTTCATCTCCCACAGAAAGTCTGATTAAATCTGATTAAATAACATGTTTACCAGCCCTACAGGGGTGAGTAATAAGTTTAATAAAGTTGCAAAACCAATATGTTGAATCAATCTGACTGGATGATGTGGTGACCTTTAAAGTGCCTTGAGATGACATGATGTGAATTGGAGCTATAGAAATAAACTGAATAGAAACTCACAAAATCAAAAACCGTCCAGTTCTCATTAAGGACAGTTTCATCCAGTAACAAATATCTATTCTTTGTCCTCCATGGTTGCTAAATCCATTAAGTTTCACTTGTTTTATGCAGCTTTTTTGGTTTTAAAGAATAAAAAAAAGAAGATTCTTCAAAATGGGAAGAAATGCAGGAATAAATGCAGCTGCATGTCTTGTTGCTATGCAGCCAATTAAAGTTGGACAGAGTGAAAGTGCTTGAAGTGAGAAGCGAGTTTAAGGGAAAGGTTGAAAGCTTTGTGCAGAAAAGCCACTTCTACAAACTCCATGCTGCCCTTTGCTCTTTCTAAAGGTCACCTCTGTTCTGCTGCTACATGTTAGCGCCTGAAATGCACGCCATACAATAAGAGCAGCCGGATCTTTCCGCTCCATCGAGAGACAAAGAGTTAGCCATAAAAAAGGCTCCCGGTCGGAAGGGTCTTTTGTTGGAGGTGATAAAAACACAGAGCGGCTCTGAAAGCTGTAATTATGCAGCTTTCTCTTTCTGGAAGTTCACTTGTTCTCCAGCTTCCAGCAGAACTGAAACCTCTGCATCAGAGGCGGAGAGAATGGAACGGCCCGCCGGGAGCCGCTGCTTTCACGCTCAATGAGCCGCTGGAGCCCAGAGGGAGCGACGCACTTTAGGCTTAAATGTTTCTACACCGCAGCTCCATGGCCAGCTATCGATTGGTTGGAACAGCCACCAGGCCGACCCCGTCACGCTCAATCGACCGACCGCTGCAGAAACACTAACAATTAGAGGGTAATGGCCGCCCTGCTGCTGGCGAGCCAGCACCACCACTGGGTCCGTTCATTTCTGACAGGTTTTATTGTCTCACTGGAAAAAAAATGAAATCTAAATGGGTGCGTTTTTCTTAAAATAAGTGCATTTGTTCTTGGGTTGAGGAGGTAAATGGGACGGTTTGACAATCGAACAAGACAAGTCACATTTAAAATAAGAAAAAACTATTGCATGGTCTTTTTTCAAGTGCATATTATCTAATTATCTTATTTTAAGGGCAAGAATACTCATTCATTGGCAAATCAGATATTTACCTGCTCAAAAAAACAATTGTTTTTTCTTATTTTAAATGTACATTTTTTCATTGGCAAAATGTCTGTTTAAACGCCTCAATCCAAGAACAGGTGCTTTTATTTTGATAAAAAATGACTTATCTAGATTTCGATTTTTTCCTATTGTGCTGCAGATTCTTGAGCATCTATATTTTAACAGATCCGTCACTAACAGCTAGGATTAAAGGAGCTTCATGCATCCTGATGCATGAGACCAACATTTTAGATAAAGGAAATAAAAGCTGATGAGAGAATAATTTGCTGTGAAGAAAGCGCTGAGCAGCCGGCTGACGTGGCGGCGTGCAGACAGGATGGCAGCGGATAAAGTCCCACAGTCCCTGTTTAATTATTAGTGTTATTCTCAGCACGTCAGAAACGAGCTGCTGAGCATTCAGTGGCCGTCTGATGCCTTCATTTAGAAATTATCTAGAAATAAGCAAACATTTCTTAAATCAAGTTTATTTCATCTTAATTCAAGTAGGTAAATAAGACGATCAGCTAATGGAATGAGTACTTTTACTCTTAAAATAACATAATAATATAATATGGACTTAAAATAAAATAATGCACAAAATTTAAATTTTGTTCTTAAAATAAGTGCATTTTGTCTTGAATGGAGGCGGTAAATGAGACACTTTGCCAATGGAACAAGACAATTTACAGTTAAAATAAGAAAAAACAATTGCATTGTCTTATTAAAAACATATATTATTCAATTATATTATTTTAAGAGTAAAAAATACTCATTCCATCGGCAGATCATCTTATTTACCTATTTAAATTAAGGGTAAATACACTTGATTTAATACATTTTTACTTATTTCTAGATTATTAATGAATAATCTGGGATTCACATGGAAAATAATAGAATATAGTCTATGTTTTCTACATGTTTGTTCATTTGCAGAGTCGCTCTTAAATAAACACATTCTCAGAAAATAAATAGTTTTTATATATTAGAAAAATAAAGCTGACAAATAGCTTCTCCATTATTAAACTGCTTCATTATTTATGTACGGTAGGTTTTATGACCCAATACTGGACAAAAGAAGGACAAGATTTATGGACAGAAAGTAAACCTGGACATGAAATTATGTTTTGTTTTGTTTTTATAAAGTGTTTTTCTAATGTTTTTTGATGTCGGCATTCATATAAATATACTCAGACATAGTGTTGTTTCTGACATCTTCATTAGATTTAGTCTTATTTTTGTTCTTCAGGATGAAATCTATTATTAGTATAGTCACGTTTTAGTCATTACAAGATGTGATAGTTTTAGTTGGTTTTAATTGATTACAACTTTAAAAGGTTTTAGTCAGTTTTAAGTTGCAAAAAAAAGTTAACATTTGCAAATAGCAGGTCTAGTTCAACACATCATATTGGTTAAAATAGCAGACAGACAAGCTAACAAAATGTCCAATAAAAGAATGGTTTTAATCATAAAAGTTTTCCATCCCAAAGAAAACACTTCCTACTTTGTTGATTTTGATTTTATTTCTGAGAATTTCCCCCTCAGTTCCTGCTGCTCAGGGGTCAAAGTAGATTTAAATTCACAGGGTTTGATATAAAAAATACAGAGAGAAACTACATAATTGTCTTGTAACGCCATGGCAACCCAGACCTAAACTGAATGAATATGCTGCTAAAATGTTGAAATATTTAAAGGAAACAGAGAAAATGTTTTAATGATAATACAAGGAAACATTTCCATCATATTTAAATAGAAACGAGAAAAATGAGAGAGAAATATTCAAAGATCTATGAACCTTTTCATCTGGAACTTTATCCAGAAATAAACAGAATTTAATGAAATATTTGCTTTGGATATAATTTAGAGATTCCTTTTGAAGGAAATTAAAGAATATTTAGCATATTGTGAGCTGGAACAAATAAAATCTTGATAGTTAGAGAAAGGGATTTTTTATGCTTGGCAGAGGATGATCAGCCACATCTAGTCTATTAAGTAGCGAGAGCAGGAAGAGCCGTACTGCTGAGAGCGAACCATCAGAGTGGAGCGTAAAGCGCAGACTCTGAGCTAAGCTACGCAAAGACGCATTTCTGCACAGCTGGAAGATTGGAGTTAGTCAGAGTTCAGCGCGCAGCACCGGATGATTCCGGATTATTTCCCCTGCCTCTGCTGCCATGATCCACCTACGCGTGGGCGGCAGGATCAAACAGGACGCAGCTGCACAGGTAATATTGCTTTGCTGATTACGCATCAATGATGCTTTTTAGACACCTGCTGATTTTCATTTAGTCTCATCTCTTTGATGAAAACTCAAACCTATGATTAGTCATGTTTTAGTCATAAAAGATCCATGTTCAGGTCGTCAGTTTTCATTATTGTCATGAAAAAAAGGAGCGTCAATGAGATGATTACATAATCGTTGATGAAAACAACACTGGTCAGACGGACGTCAACATCAGCAGACTGAATATCTGAATGAACAGTGTTATATGTGCATCACTGGGAGACGAAACACCCCCCCCCCCCCCACACACACATACACACACACACACACACACTGACCTGCATCTCCTTGTCTCCATACTTGGAAGGGTTCTTGCTGCCCTGGCTCTTCCTGCGCAGCTTCTTCAGCTCCGCCTGGCATTTCTCCAGACTCTCCCCTTTGCTCTTGTGCTCCATCTGGTACTTCTTCAACGCCGCCTGATGGGGGCAGCACAAAGTCAGTAGGGGCACAGCAGTGCTTGCACAGCGGATATATCACTCCAACATCAACAGCGTGTTAATTTCTCTGCTAAATGCTCTGATGAGAGAGAAAAAATGTTGATGTCGTTCATTTAAAGGGCATGAAGGGAATAAATGTCATATTTTAGCTCATTCCTAAACTGATGAATGTTTGTTTTTGCATGTTGACTCCTTCCCAGCATGCACTGCAAAAATAAATAAATAAATCCTTGATGTTTTTTTATGGGTTTGGCCTGTAAACGGCATCAAAGCACCAGATTAAAAAACATTAAAACCAACTTTGCTTATAAAAAGCATCTCTCTGTTTACGTAGATTTCTACCTCCGTAAACTGATTTAAAGGCTGTTTGCGGATGAGGCCAACAGGCCGTTAAACAGGCTGTTTGTTAAAGGAAAAGTTTGGGTTTTTATTCCCAGTCTGCTGCTGATCACCAAACGGTTGCAGCAGGTCTGATGATGCTGAGCCTAATATTTGAAATAGGCAGAAACTGGACCCTAAAACTAATGAAAATAAAAAGTCCAGGTGATTCTGAGAGATGGAGGCTGTGAGTGGCCCTGAAACCAACCCTGAAGGTTACGACCAAAGGAAGGAGGGACTCACGTTCAGGTAGCGCGCGTCCAGCTCCACCTTCTTCTCCAGCTCCGTCAGCAGCTCGTTGTGGAAAGACTTTAGCTGCAAAACAAAGACAGAAAGCTCAGCAATACCCCACAATCATAGCATAAAGCTAACCGCTGGAAACCATGGAGGAGGAGCTGGAGAGAGAAACGTCTTTAAACTTGGAAACAAAGTCCAGAGAATTCTTTTTTAACTTTTTCTGAATATTTAGGGAATCTAAAACTAAATATGAGTCTCTGCTTAAAACAGCCTCCCAGTATATGAGACCGGTCGTCTGATTGTTGTTTTAAAAGCAGATATTGCTGCATCCGCAGCCGATTATCCAAAAGAACCAGAACATTTGCAAACAGACTTTGAAAAAAGATTGAAGGCTAGATCTAACATCTGTAAATCAGCTGAATGTTTACAGCAAATGTCTCCAAAATTGCCCAATTTTCTCTCAGATTTGGACAAAGAACCGACATCAGAACAGTTTCAGTCTGAAATCTATTTAAATTACATATAATCAGCTTCAATTTCCAAATCCTACTGAAGTGGAGCTCCAGCCTGATAAAAGGCTGCTTTTCAGACATCCAATATTTCACGTCATTAAGCTAAAAAGGCCACAATCTGTTTGGCTCCCAGTCCCAGGCTGGTTTTAGCAAGACCGTCAGCACATGCTCACCATCTCCTCAAGCTGGATCTGGATCTGTCTGTGCACTTCAGCCATCTGAAAGAGCACATCCCCTGCAGAGAGAAAACAAAGAACAAAGACATGATTAACCAACAGAAGGAGAGAAGAGAGAGTGTGACGTTAACTCGTTCCAACCTCAGACAAACATAAAGCGTGCAAAACAAAACAAAAAAATAGAAAAAGGACAACAAACATGCAGCCAAACAGAACGCATGAGAGACGGGTGTCGATGGAGGGGTGGGGTGGGGGGGGGGGGGGGGGGGGGGGGCGCCGTGGGGTGATACAGACGAGCAAACGAACTGCAGAACGGTGAGAAAGCAAAAGAAACAGGCTCCATAGATGAAATGAATGACAAATCAAAGATTAATAAAACCTGCAGAGTGCTAAAACCAAACCGCTAAATCATCAGATCGGATCACTTAGAGAATAAATCATAAACTCATAACAGAACTTTAAAAAGAAACCGTCAACTTTCTGATTTATGCATTAAGATGTATGTTAGGCTACGAGATAGGAGGGGAGAACGACAAAAAGCAGACCCCAGAAAGTGAAATTAACATATTCAGAAAAACATGGTTCATGCAGCAACTAAGGTCTTTAAGATACCTACATGCTGCCTCTTCTGTGTGTGCAATGCATTGTAAAAAAAAACAAAAAAACATCTAGTTTGAGCAAAAGAAGAGACCTGAAGAGACAGATCCAACTACCCTGAGAATAAAAATGAGTTTTAAACACAGAAAGAAACACTTAGACACACTGCTAATTGACAAAGAGCCCCATGCTGCTGATTCACAGGACGCTTCACATCCTAAATACCTCAAAGATTCACACAGCAGACTTCAATAATGCAATATCTCACACACTGGATAAAAAAAATCTAAATCTCAATAAGTTATTTTTTCTTAAAATAAAGTGCATTTGGTCTCGGATTGAGGAATTAAAAGAGACATTTTACCAACGGAACACGACAATTTACATTTAAAATAAGAAAACACAATTACATTGTCTTATTTCAAGTGGTTATTATCCAATTATCTTATTTTAAGATTAAAAATATTAATTGCATTTGAAAATCATCTTATTTACTTCCTCAAATTAAGGGTAAATATACTTCATTTAGGACATTTTTACTCATTTCTAGATGGTTTTTCCATCTACTATCCATGGTAAAATTTTCTTTTCATTGTTAATAACGTTTCCTTTGGTTTAGATGAAGGCTGGCATTTTTATCATCACAAGAAGAGGTGATAAAAGAAAAATTTAAATCAGTTTAAAAAAAATATATAACACAGGAAAAACGATCAAGAAATAAGTAAGCATTTCTAAAATTAAGTGTTTTTACTAGAGATGCACGATATAATCGGCCCCCTATCGGTATCGGCCTTAAAACTGAATATCGGACATCGGCCACCCCACCGATATTTAACCCGATATTTGATCAGCTTCTGAGTTTCTAAAGTCTAAAAAAAATAAATAAATACTACTTCTTCTTCTTCCTCAAAAACGTCTTTTTTACAGACCTAAAAACTTCTAAAGACGAGTGAAAAATATTGATCCATTAAAATATCACAATATCTTCATATGCTGATATATTGCACTGGAAAAAATCAAAATCTAGATGAGCCATTTTTACTTATAATAAGTGCATTTGTTAGTGGATTAAGGAGGTAAAAGAGACACTTTGCCAATGGAACAAGACAATTTACACTTAAAATAAGAAAACACAATTGCATTGTCTTATTTCAAGTGCATTTTATCTAATTATCATATTTTAAGAGTAAAAATACTCATTCTATTGGCAAACTATCTCATTTACCTGCTCAAATTAAGGGTAAATACACTTAATTTAAGACATTTTTACTTATGTGTAGATCGTTTTTCCAGTGTGCCATTTAAAAACACCATATCAATCTCTTTTACTAATGAAATATTGCTATATGTCATCGTTATGCTACGAAATCCCCCCGAAAATTCACCAAATGTTGCCATATTTTTATACGTTGATATATTGACGTGGTATCGATCTATTTTACTAACAAAATCTCACAAGAATTTGCAAAATATCCCGAGAGTTTGTAACAGAACGATGAAATTTCACGAGATTTTGAAAGTAAAATAGATCAATAACGCATTTTTAAAAATCTATTTGATATCAGCATATGAAAATATATTTGAGTATATTATTTTTCAAAGTGTCAGAAATGGATAACAAAACTGCTATTTTCAATGACTACTTATTTTTGTCCAGCTTTAACATCGGTATCGATATCGGTTATCGGCTACATGAGTTTTAAAATATCGGCATATCGGATATCGGCCAAAATCCCAATATCGTGCATCCCTACTTTTTACCCTTAATTTGAGCAGGTAAATGAGTTGTTTGCCAATGGGATGAGTTTTTTTCACTCTTAGATTAAGAAAATTAGATATCAAGCACTACAAATAAGACAATGGCATAGTTTTTTTTTCTTATTTTAAATATAAATGGTGTCGTTCCGTTGGCAAAATGTCTCATTTTCCTCTTCAATTCAAGAAAAAAATTCACTTATTTTAGGAAAAAATGGCTTTTGTAGATTAAATTTTTTTTGCAGTGCAGTGCAGTATCAGGGATTGGATAAATTAATGGGACAGAAAAAAAACAATATAATAAAAACCTAATGGGACTGTATCTAACGCAGCCCTTCATTAGTTTTTCCACATTAGATCCCAATAAATCAGACAGAAGTTGGTGTTTGAAATGTCACCAATGTGATGATGTTTGCACGGCACTGAAACAAACTGTATATTTAATACCGTGAAAAAGGCAAAAACTGAAAGGTTAAATTATAAACATTAGGACTTCACTTTGAATTTGGGCTTAAACAAATAATCAGATTAAATGATTATTGAAATAATCGTCAACTAATCGATTAATCGTTAAGTGGAGTATAGAGACTGTAAAACCTGCCTTTAGCTGACAGGGTGACCCACTTAGAGCAGCAATTATTCCAACATCGTAAAAAAATATGTCAACATTTTGCATTTAAGATTTAAAAAAAGGAATTTTTCAAATTGTTCTAATTGCTTAGTCAGAAGAATAATCGACAGATGAATGGATTTGCCAAATAATCGGTTGCAGCCCGACTTTAAATTAAGCCAATTATGAAAAAAGTCAGTAGAAGAAAAGCAGTTTAACAATAAAATCTTTAAACAGACATCAGACTTTAATAACAAACTTCTATAAAAGCATTATAGCTGCTATAAGCTCAGCAGCGCCACCGCATGGCGGATATATTCCTTCCAATCGGCGAACCGGCCACCAGGAGACGCTGGACATTCTGAGGGGACAGAGGGGGCTGCCTGGGAGGATTAATAGGCTTAATGGAAGTGCTGCGGTCATGCAGATGATACTCACTTCCAGGGGGGGGGGGGGGGGGGGGGGGTCGTTTTTTTTTTGGGTTCAAAGCTGTTTTTTTCTGCAAAGACAGAAAAGTTTAACAGGAATACATGAAATGCAGACGACAGAAACGCAAAGCAGCTGGACAGGGTTCATCACTGCATGTCCTGCCTTCCATCAGAAGGTCCCACTCCCCACATCCACCTTTAGACAAACACGCCGTCCACAGGCTGTGGGCGGGGCTCTGAGGAGTGCACCGGTGCATGATAGAAAACTCTGCACTGGTTCTTGGAGAGCAACCAGCTCACACTTCCACACCGTCCATTAACAGACAGCTGGCCGCCATGGACAGGCGTGCTGAACCGCAGCGCCTCGATCACACGCCATTAGACTAATGCTGACTTTAGCCTGAGGAGGGAACGCTGTGGAGCATCGAACCCAGAGAGAGAGAGCAGGACGTTTATTATACATCAATAAAACCGACCAAGCAAAGAGTTTTCATGACAGTTTGGATGACATTTATAAACGGATGTTCCAGTGTCTGTATTTCTAAATGTACGTCAACATAGTTCACTAAAAAATAGTTTATTTGTTCCTTGTTGTAAACTGAAGACATACATCTGGGGGGGGGGGGGTTACCATTACCATTTACATTCAGAGTTATTTAATGAATTTACCGTTAATCAGTAAAAAAATGAAAACAGAAATTTTTGTTGCGATCAATGGATCATTATTTATACCTAAAACTAATACGTTTGCTCTGATTGAATGAATTTAGGGTTAATCAGTAAAACAAAATAAAAATTATAATTTTCGTTGCGATCACCGAGTCTGGGAGCGGCCATTTTTGCCCAAATCTAGTAGCCCCTCCCTCCTGCCATCTTCCAGCAGTGACGTCACGGTGCGGTAAGCCTAGCGCCATTCTCCCCGCTTTCCAAGCTAAATCAATGGGAACTACTAGACACATCTGCAATCAACAACAATTATTGAAGATTTCCAGAAGACTTCACCATTGAAATTCACCAGAGCTATAGTGAAACTGACAATGCCCACATGCATGGCAGCTGGATGCTGGAATACATCGGGTAAAAGTGAAAACAAAGAGTTATTCCACCTTTCTGATTCCTGATCCTCCACGGACGGGTTGGTCGTTGGATCGCCAACTTGAAGAGGGAGGATTTGTACGACGGAGTATTAGGGCCAGGCTAGAGATTTCTTTCCATCAATTTCGAGAATAAAGTCATAAAATTACGAGAATAAAGTTGTATTTTATGACACCTCTTCCAAGAAGCCCTTTCGAGGGATGTGGAGAATCATGTGAAGTTCTACTTTAGCATCAGTTTGACAAATCAGGAAATCTTTTAGCAGCAGCATCAAACTGGGCAGTATGTCAAAGTGGACTCTGGTTGCTGATTGGTGGAGCTGGTCGGCCGTCATCTGCTGGGCGGAGCTACAAGCTTTCTTTCTGAAACGGGTTGTTGTATGAAGACTTAATTCTCATTATATTACAACTTTATTCTCATAATATTAAGAGTTTATTCTCGTAATAAAATAAAAATCTCTAACCTGGCCCTAATACTCCATCATAGGATTTGCCATCGAACTTCTGGCCAGAGAAAAAACCCGTAATATGTAGCCAACATTTGGAAGAAGAATGTTTTCAAGATGACTTGGATAATAGCGCGTTGTGACAAACACCAGATACAGCACTGGGACTTGATCAACAGCCGATACCGCACCGTGACGTCACTAACCAGTAGGTGGCAGTAGTGTTCTTTGACAAACATGGATGCCTCCAGTAAAGCACATTCACATGAAAATTACTCTGATTTAAAAACATAATAATCTCAGATTTAAAGAACTTTCAGAAGTTTGAATTCTGAATATGAGCGACTTTTCCTTTAAAAAAGCATTTAGGACCTTTAAATGTACCAAGCCATCAGCTGGTGACCCAAACAAGCCATAAGCCATCAGTAAAAATAACGCTGCATCTGGAGCTTGAAGTTAGCATTTCTAAGTACACATTTTTTTAAAAGGCAGCTGTGATGAACTGGTATTAAAGGCCAAAGCCTAGACCTCAGTTTGATAAAATGGACATTATTCAGCTGGTTGCAGAAACCAAATGAATGTTCGGACATTCTGTGGTTATGGATGCATGTTCTTGTTTTGTCGCCTGCACCTAATCCAAAAATCTGCCCTCCTTGCCTTGTGAAATATGGGACTTCTATTCAGCAGAAATAAGCTGC